TCTCCAAGCAATTCTTTTATTTTATGTTTTTTTTTTTTTTTTTTTTTTTTTGAGACAGAGTCTCACTCTCTTGCCCGGGCTAGAGTGCCGTGGCATCAGCCTTAGCTCACAGCAACCTCAACTCTGGGTTCAAGGATCCTCCTGCCTCAGCTCCAAGTAGCTGGGACTACAGATATGCGCACCATACTCAGCTAAGTTTTTCTATATAATTTTAGTGGGCAATTAATTTCTTCTCTTTTTTTAGTGAGCGGCGGGGTCTTGCTCGTTGCTCTGAGCTGGTTTTGGAAGCTACTTGACCTTGAATGGTCCCACCAGCCCAGCCTCCCAGAGTGGCTAGGGATTACAGGCGTGAGCGACCGGGCTGGCCTCATTATTTATTTTTAATCTACTAATTTCTGTTTGGTCTCATTAGATATTCTCCAATTCTTTGGTTAAATTTTCGAATACAGTTTATTCATCTTCTTTTTTTGAGACAGCTCATTCTGCTTGGCACAGTTTGTAGTGCCGTGCGTTCGCCTAGCTCGACAGCACTGCAAATCTCTGGGCTCAGAATCCTACTGCTCAGCCTCCAGCAGCCGCTGGGACTTATTAGGGCATGGGCCACCATACCTGGCTAGAATTTTTCTATATATTTAGTGGCCAATTAATTTCATTCTTTGTATTTAGTAGAGACGGGTCGTCGGTCTTTGTCAGGCTTCTCAAACTCCTGACCTGGACGCATCCTCCAGCCATGGAATCCCAGAAGTGCTGAGGATTACGGTGACCCGGCCCATGTCTTTATCATTCTTTTTTTATTTTCTTAACTTCAAATGCAAGATAGATCTTATCATTCTTATAGCATAGTAAACATAACATCTACAGTAAGTCTGAAACTTTATATATATTACTCCAATATATATGTTTTAACCTTTAAACAAAAGGTAAACAACGTAAAGATGAATACTTCAAAGGCTGGGTGCTGGTGGGGCTCATGGCCTGTCCTTAGCACTCTGGAGAGCCGAGGGGGGGGATTGCTCGGATCTGGTCGTTGAACCAGCCTGAGCAAGAGCAAGACCCCGTCTCTCTAAAATGAAGAATTAATTGGCATATTATATAATATATAATATTATATTACGCCTGATGGAGGCGCATGCTGTCAGTCCCAGTCTACTCGTGAAGGCTGAGCAGGAGGATCCCTTCGAGCAGGAGTTTGAGGTTGCTGTGAGCTAGGGCTGACGCCTCGGCACTCCTCTAGCCTGGGCAACAGAGTGGATCTGTGTTTCAAAAAAAAAAAATATGTAAAGCAAAATATTGAAAGAATTATCCTCAAAATATGCAATAAATATTGAATCAAAGGCGGAAGCTTGGGTTGTCGATCATTAATCCAGAGGTGAGGTATGGACGGACAATTACGAGGGACGACAGGTGTCGGCTGTCAGTATATACTCATCACTTTGGAATCGCTGGTACTTTTAATACAGGAAGTTCCTGCGTGGGAGCATGAAGAATTGTTGAGCATTGCTGTCGTATATGGTGCAATTGAACAATTCACATGTCTAGATGAATACCAGCTAGGGACTTTACTGAAGTTTTCTTAATTAAGTTTATGACTTAAGAAGTCTAATAAAGCGAGAAAAAAGATGAACAGAGTTTCCTTTGGGGATTGCTTCATGAGTGCTATGCTCAGCATTTGAAACATTGGGATAACTAGAAAACTAAATGAAAAAAGGTGTATACATGCAAGAACTACTCAAAATAAACCTTAATGAAAAGAGAACTGGGTTGCAGAGCAAAAAGACCACAAAAGTTATTAGACAAGACTTCCATCAGGATGTCTGGATTTGTGCAGCTGCTGATGATGCTTTTACAGGGAACTCAATAATTCCTGTTCTTCATTTTGTGAATGCCTTATTTTATTTTTCTCAAAATGTACGTTTTTCATGCCAGGGAGCATGTGGCAGGCTCAAACTCCTCAAGGATGGTGGAGTAACCTGTCAAACAGAGCGTTACCATAACTGACTCCTTGCGAAAATACGGTGAACACTTGAAACTCGTGCCTACTCTGGCACACAAATCTCATTATCCTTCAGAGGCGGTGACAGATTTATGCTAGGACAGACACATGCAGTGAGCAGAAAAGAGAAGAGAAGATGATCGTAACTTGGGAAATTATCTTGAACCACAGCACGAGTAGTAATGGAGTTACTGATTGGGCTCTATACAGACATATCCTAAAAGTGGATCTGCATGATGACTCATTGAATACAACGCGAACTTAATTTGGAATAAACTGTAAAAATGGTAATTTTCATGTGCGCAAAGGCTCCAGGGACAAAGCTGAAAGGTGTCGAATACGAGTCCTCCATTTAAAACACAGAGATGAATATAGAATGCAGCAGCAATCAAATTTTTTTTTTTTTATTGTCTGGATTATTGATGCTGGTTATTTATTTTTTTCCTTTTTTATTTTGGCATCATTATGGGTACAGATTTTAAGGTTTCATAAATGCCCAGTTTCCCCCTCCCCAAGTCTGAAGTTCATCATGACCATCCCCAGATGGTGCAATTCAGTCATTTTGTATGCTATATCCCGCCCCCCTCCCCCTCCCACCTGCCCAATACCTGTTATGTAGCACCTATGTGTCACTTAGTGTACTCAGTTGATACAGTTTGCTGGAGCATATATCTGTGTGTGTTTTTCCATTTCTTGATACTTCTTGTGTATGGGTTTCGTCTAACAGGAATATAAGATGTGCTATATCACATTGTTTTAGAGTGATAGTATCCATGGTATAATTAACTTTATAATCCACTTGGATTGAAAATTGGCCTTGGGCTTGTTTTCACAGCCTTGCCAATTATGAATTTGTGCTGCTAACATTCGATGCAGGTGTCTTTTTTGTAAGGTGTCACTGGATCATTTGGGTAGTGCCAGCTATGGGATTGCTGGATCAAATGGTAGCATTCACTTGTATCCTTTAAGGCTTCTCCATTTGCTTTCCACAGAGGGGTTGATAGTTTGCAGTCCCCAGCAGTGCGGAGTTGTGTCCTCTCTCTCGCAACCACGCAGATTTATTGTTTGGAGATTTTTGATAAAGGGCCATTCTCACTGGGTTAAGTGATTTCATTGTGGTTTTGGTTTGCAATGTTCCTGATGATTAGAGATGTTGAGCATCTTCGTTCATATGTTTGTTGGGCCATTCTTCTGTCTTCTTTAGGAACATTTCCTGTTAAGTCCTTTGCCCGTTTTATGGGGTTATTTGATTTTTCTTCCTACTTTTCTGATTCTATATCCCCTATCGATGCATAGGCAGAAATTCTCCCTTTGTAGGTTGTCTGATCATGACTATTGCTTGGCTTGCGCGGGGATGCAATCTTTTTTTTGTGCTGGTTCTGGATCTTTCAATTCTTGCCAGGCCACTGTCCTAGGACAGTGTTTCCAACTTTTCCTCTAGAGTTCTAATCGTTTCATATCTTTAGGTTTAGTCTGTTATCAGGTGAGTTGGTTTTTGTGAGAGGTGAAAGGTGTGGTTGTTGTAGCCTTTTCTACGGTGGCTATCAGTTTTCCCAGCCCATTTATTGAGAGGGATTCTTTCCCAGCTGTTTTGTTGCTTTGTCAAAGATTGATGTTTATGAGGATGGTTTATTCAGGTTCTCACATCTGTTCCACTGGTCAATATTCCTGTTTTTGTGCCAAAGATATTGTTTTAA